GTTATTTTGATGTTTCCAACACACTGGCCATCTGCAGTGAGGAGACAGGGATGGTGAAGTTGTGTTCTTGAACTCTCCTGACAAACAGGCAGGGACGTTTCCTTGTAGCCCGAGGAGCCTTTGGCACCTGGCAGCGACGCTGAGGGCAGCGAGGGGCCCTTGGCTCATCCACTCGTGTCCTCCTGCTTCAGGGACACTGCACAGACACCGCTGCCTGTGGTGACAGCCACGTCTTCCCCGCGACAAGGAATCACTCCTATCGACTGCTCCCTGCGTCACCGTCACAACACCTTGTACATCTCCTGCTACCTTTTTATACCCAGCTAAAACAAGCCCAATACCTTTCATGCCAAACGTTTGGGATTCACTGAGCCTGAGTGACACCTACTACTTTGCCATCAGGTGGCCGTAAATGGGGAAGATAATGTACCCCATTAACTGTGAGAGACCTGAATTGCTTATTTGGATCTGCTACGTTTTGTCCCTTGCCACTTCCTTTTGATTAGAAATCCCCATTCCTTTGTGTGCCCTGCCTGTGATTTTTTTTATTTACATCGTATAAGTTCGTAATAGGCAACTGTTCAATATAACAGTAGAGATCTGATGAAAGGCAGCAGCAGAAGGCTGCAGAGAGATGGCGTCACGCTAGAAAAAGGGTGCAGATTTTATTTATTTATGTAACAAGCATTAAACTTCTAGAACAACTTCTCCAGAACCCGTTCTTCTTGGCTTGCCGTCTTTATGCCAGGATTGACACTTGTGCTGAAGGAAACGCAGCTAAGCTGTCAGGTTGATAAAGAAATAAGCAGGGATGTTCTGTCACGTGCGCTGCGGTTATCTCTCGGCCAAGGATCCTAAATCCTGCCTGTAAAAACTAAGGCAAGTAGTAATAGGTTGAACCTCTTAAAAGCTCAGAGGCTGCCCCAGCTGAACTGCGTGCCTGGGCGTGGGCAACCCAAATTCTGCTGCTTGAGAAAACTGTGAAGTGTCCCCAGATTAACCGGAGCTGCAGCTTCCAAAGGGGACCAGCTCGCTGCTCTTAGTACCTTGTTAGCTGCAGACATGCCAAAGCCTGGGCCTGGCTTGGGGGTATATCCAGGGTTTTTGTATTTGTTATAGATTTTTGAAGACCTATGCTATATTGATGGCATTTTTAAATTAAAAAAAAAAAAACAAAAAAAACAACAAACTTTGTTT